CTCAGACAGAACGCTCACAAAATCCCATGTGCTTCATAACTTTGCTTTCTAGGGTCCATGATAAATATAATAGTTAAAAGTAATTTCAAGACAATTTAATAAAGGTCTAGCATACCAAGTAGTGTTATTGATTTGTGTAATGCAGATTATATTATTAAAATGAATGATGTATAGGGTTTAAATCAAGAAAAGACTATTGATCTCAAAGACCCACACTTCTTTTCCATCCCACTCCCATTCCACTGGCAATGGATAAAGCTCTGGCTCATAAATGCTTTCTACAATATATAGGAGATTCAGTTAAGCACCCATTATTGAGAATGTCTTACTCAACAACATTCATATTGAAGTTTTTTGAAGTTGAAGTAATCACTTTGAAGTAAATCACCCTTTCAAATTTGGATTGAAAAGGGGAGGGGAATAGCTTTTAGGCTTTTCTTCCCTTAACGTGACTATTTCCACAGATGGCTCCCTGTGAAAATTAATGAACTAACTTAGGCTTACAGGAAATGCCATTTAGAAGGACAAGAATTATAGTTAGAGAACAGACCCTGTGAACAAAGTAACAGAACTATTATTTATATACCTTAGGAACTGCAAAATTTATGTTTTCACATAATTTTAAAGTAGTGTTAAACAAAATTATTTTCTAAACCAATAAAGAAAAATGACCAAAAGAAAGAACTCTAACTTATATTAAACATATTTAATGTTTAATGCTATTAAGCTTAGAAAGATTTTAGAGACTCAATACTGAAAATATACTAAGACAAAAACATTATTCTTAAGTTTTATTTGGTTCTTACATGCTATATAGCAGAAAATGCCAAATTAACATGTATCAAAGATCCTTTATTTACCTAAGAATACAAAAATAGCATATGTCCTTTAGAAATTTCCACAGAAAGCAGTATGTACATGCAACAATTCACCCAAGACAATTGTAAACTACATGAACTACAAACATGTACAAATAAAATAAAAAATTATAAAAAAGATAATTAAAGTATCTTGCATTTTAAAAGCAAGTAATTTAAGATACTTAATAGGTAGAAAATCTGTAAATTTATCATAATATGAAAGAAGGGGTTGGGGAAGTAAGGAGGAAGAGAATACTTCCGACTCCTGCACTGCATTATGAACGCCAGTAGAATACCAACAAAGACCACCAAGTCCTTACTCAGCAAATTGGTAATGAAGATATTGCATATTTATCCTGCCTTTTCAGGAGAGACTTAATCCATCCCTACTTAAGAAACAGTATTTCAAAAGAAACAAAAGAATGCCCAGTAATATTTGGAAGAGTAGGAAGGATAATATAAGAAAATTATGTGGAATCTCCAAGATTATAACCAGTTCAGGTGAGGAAAATCATAAGCTGATAAACCATTATGTGAAAAATTATTAAGACAACAATGGTAATGACACAGTGTCAAGGCGTCACCTCACTGACTCCCTGCTCCTTGTAAAGAGGAAGTCCTATGCTGGGGAGATGTTGTCAGCAGCAGTAAGACAACCTGATGTCATGTGCCTCCTTGTCTTACACTATAAAAGGTAAAAGGACAAATCACAGGGATAATTTGAAATATGGACTATATAAATGAGGTAAGAAAATTCTTAATTTTACAACTATTAATTATAACAGTAATATAATTACATACATAAGAGGCCCTTATTTTTAAGAGCTGTAGGTTGAAGTAGTCAGAGAATAGGCACCACCATGCTGAAGTCTGACATTTATACAGACCAGCAGGAAACACAGACATACATGAGGAGAATAAGCTACCACGACACTGCTATTAAAGCTGGTGGTGGGGCACGGTGACCAGTATAGCTTTTTGTTTTTCAAATATTCTGTAAACTTGAATCATTTTATAAGTTGAGAAAAATAAACACAAATTAATAGATATATTTAACTGGGACAGTGACTTTTTTGAATATGGAGATAAATGACATTTACTATAAAGGAAGGGTTAAAAAAAATCGGAAGAGGAAGCAGGAAATGAAAAAGATAGTTTCGACAGAGAAAAAGGACAGGAAGCAGCACTGGAGAAAATTAATATGGCAATACTGTAAAGCTAGAAAATGGAAGATTTTGTCATTAGCTTCAACTCTGAGATCAGCAATTAAATTACACTGATTTTCCCAAATGTAGCCCATACCTCATGTTTAGTTTCTAAAATTCTCTTTTGTACTTTAGACAAAAGTCATGTACTGTGGGGAGAGACCATTAAATCATTAGTTTTCAGGGTCCAACACGATCCATGTCGTCCCCAAGTCTAAGGCCAGGTTCATGCAAATTGCTAAATTAATAATTTTCCTGTGAATACGTGATAATCAATTGTGGCATAAGCACAGAAATTTCTAAGTATGCTGATTTTAGTCATTTTAATAATGGTACTGATTGAATATAGCATCCCATTAGTCACCTGGCCATCAGCCTTTATTACTGTTAGGAAAAAATAAGTCAATTAAAAAAATAGTTCAGTCAGTCTATATAAATACTGTATGACTACTCCGAAATTACATCCCCACTGTTAGGGCAGAAATACAGGTGTGATGATATAATAACAAAGGAGTTTCACTGTAGGTATTCTCCTAAATTTAAGTGGTAAAGATTCAATACATGCCTAAGTGATAACTTCGAGGTTTATCATAGCTTCAAACTCATAATCTCATTTTATTGCCATTTCTGTCTTTTAAAACTGACTTAAGATATGTAAGGATACAGGAAAACACCTAATCTTGCCTTCTAAATCAAGTCAAGCTGTATGTCCATAAAAAACAAAAGAAGAGTCTATGAATTTTTATCTTTTCTTTCCTGAGCCATTAGGAAAACAGTGAGTCACCTAGTTTTCCTTACCAGTTTGGCAAGTTCTAGCTGATCTCCGAGTTTGTTTCTTCACTTGTAAACAGAAATCACACACCTGTAAAGCAGGAATGCCGCGCCTGCTTTGCCTACCATGAAGGCTGAGACACATGAGAAGGAAACTCACGAAAACCGTCTTCAGAGAAAGCACATGACTTCAAAATTATCATTTGTTTAGCTTATATTTTAATGTGGTTTATGACTTCATATTCTGTGGTACAAGACGTAAGAAAAATAAGAAGGATTTCATTTTTACTACCTACCTATCTAGTTTAAAAAAAAAAAAAAAAAAAAAAAAACACAAGTTAGACACATAATCATGTATGGGAGAACTCTTGCCAAAAATATTTAACCCGAATCTCGTGAAACAATTAGTCCATATATTCCCAGAGAAAAAAACTGGTCTAGGCTTTTAAAAAGTGTCAGTGCCATGAAAGACCCAAACAAAGGCAGGACACGAAGGGCACAATTTAGATAAAAGGAAACAAAGACACGGTAGTCATGGATTCTGAACCAAACAATAAATAAGAATTTGAAAAAATCATTTTGGGGACAACTGCAGCAATCTGCTCTATATTAGATAATATATCAGCAATAAACTTCTTCAGCGTGACAACAGTATTATGGTTACGAAGAAAACTCTCCTTGGTTTTAGGAGAAACACGCTGAAACATTCAGGAAGCCACACTGTTTGCAACCGGTTTTCAAATAACTCTGAAAAAATATTAAACTAGAGAGAAAACACGTGAGAAAATGGTAATAGCTGAAAAGCTAGGTAAATGGTATACAGACGTTTGTTATTCTGTTCCAACCATTTTATATATTTGAAATTTTCAAAAGACTAAGATATAGAAAAGTAAAGGACAATATATAAACAAAACTGTTGACAAGTAATGGAAAACACATTAATTTTTCAGTAATATAATTATACTTCTCTTAAAACTTTGTAAGCCAAAATATATTCACTATGTTATCATACTGAGGTAATAATTATTCATAGTATTTAAGAGCCTCACTAAGCTTTTTATAAACAAAACAGGTAAATCAGGTAGACTATATAATAAAAGGTCACATAAAAGATTTCCTTCAGGTAAAAAGCGATGTAAACAGACTAGACAAAAATGTTATTATTGGAAAAGCTCATGGAGCTAAAGTCATATCCATATAGATCAGGAGACTGTACCCACATGTTTTCAAGAATACAACTGCAATATGATTTAATATTTTTCTTGTAAAAGAAAGTATCAAACAGTGTAGAATAGATAGTTAACAGATGTGATAGTTCATACAGTCCCTTCAGTAGAACCATTCTAAAGGCATGCAAGTAAAACAACTAGAAACAAAGTATGGTCTACAGGCAGAAAACATTGTATTTTGCTCTAGAAATACCATTATTCTAGAATAGGAGTACTATAAAAAGTGTAGGGGGGAATTCTCTAATAAACACTAGCCTAGGAAAATACATAAAAATAAATTTAAGACATTGGGATAAAACACACTAAATCAGCCTTATCTTAAAGTTTTCTGATAGATTTGGGGTGAAAAACTTGATAAATTTCATGAGCTTCCTTTGTATCAAACCTGTCAGAAATGTTAATACAGTTAACAGATTCTCTAGGCAGTAAGTACCATTTTTTAAGAGCAGTAAAAATATTCAACTATTCCAAATGAACGTTCAGGATTTCCTGCCCTGTCAGAGGTTGGACAACTACCATCAATTCTGTAAGAAATCAGAAGGACTACTCAGGAATGTCTTTTCATGGGTTCATTTGAATATTAACTACAAAGAGCATCAGTGTGACATGAGTTAACAATTTATGTTCATACTATTTGTAGTAAAATGTTTTCACAAAAAATGTAAATACATTCTAAATGTGGAGTCACATCCTCTGATTTAAAACCTATACTAGCATGGACTTCCATCACTGTGGACTCTTCTTAGGAAATATACAGTGTTTCCTTTAAAGGATAAGCTCTGTAATGCAAAAAAATAAAAGATTCAATTATCTTTAAGACCTAATTTGCTTTTAGAAATCCTTTTCTTCATAAAATGGCAACTTTAAAATTACATAGATAAGAAAAACATCACAAAACATTGTTACCTGTATTTTGAAAATAGCATTTCATTTACCTTATGAATGGGCACTACCAAGGTTGGTTCCACTTTAGCTTCAATTTCTTCAGGACTATAAAAGCAATACAGTTTTCCCCCTCTCAAAACACAATACAGCCTCCTCCAAACAGTTAGACCGTCTATCACTTGCTGGAAAAAAAAAAATCAAGAAGCTATCAATTTTAAATCATCATCATAACTCTAAATTCAATGCAATACTTAAGCTGTCAAAGTTGAATTCAATTTTAAGAACTTTTAAAATGTAACAGAATCACCCAATAATGTGCTACAGAATAAGTAGCACATCTGCTTAAAATCCAAGAGTAAGTTTATATCAGAGAAGAAAAGTTTGAAAATCTCAAAAAGTATTAAACAAAATGAAACTAGTGATTACCACATAATTTAAACAAAATCATAAATCAATGCAGCTTTTAGAACAGTTAGCCTATTAAAAAATTACTGTTCAGAATTCCATAGCAATTCATCAAATGACTCAGGACAATTATAAAAAAAATCCTAATGTTGAAAATATAATTTTCCCTTACTGCTCTCAGAACATTAGAAAATGTTGACTACCTGGTAAGAATGCAAATTTTCTATCTTAATGGAATCTTTTAGAAAAAGCTATTGATTCACTGAAGCCCACAATTAATTATTTACTGAATATAAATAACTAAGGTTATAAATAAATCAGGAATGGGTTGCACAGAGGCAGCTTTGGGAGCCCAGCGGCCTGAATTGTGCCAAAAGCCGTCTGCCAGAGGGCCTTTCTGTGAAAGGTGTTGCGCAGCCTCGTCATTTTCCACAAGGAGGCCTCTGTTGCCAATTACCCAGCCACTGTAGGACCAGGAGCACAGAGGTAGCTCCCCAGCCATCAGAACTGCACCAGAGCCTCCCCCTTGCCATCCTTCATACTCTGGCATCCCCGCAGTTTCTAATAACATTTTTAAAATTAACATTGAAAAGGGGCTTCTCAGTATTAGAAGCTCAAACAACTGCCTGTATGCTCAGATCTCAACTGGAGCTAAAACTGTAAGATATTTAAAATCTGCTAACCTGCTGATTAAGAAATCCTGCAAATGCATCCTCAGCCATGCAAGCTGGCTGGGCCACTAATCGGCAGCACATGTTGCCATATAAGGGAAGCCAAAATGAAGACTCCTCTATTTAAAGGAGAAAGAAAAATAATCAAGTTACAAACATGTTTATTTAAGGTCATTATGCATTTTGTAATTTTCTTTTCACAACTTTTTACTTTATACAAGAACATACTTTGGTATTATTTTCATATAATGGTTTACCTATTTAAATACTAGCACCATATTTAATGACAAAATCAAATATGAAAAAGCAGAAAACACATGATATTAAAACCTATAAGTTTAGCGGCTGAAATAGCCATGGATGTTTTAATCTTGATTTAATTTGTTTTGTTTTTTGAGACAGAGTCTTGCTATATAGATCAGGCTAGCCTTGAACTCACTATGTACCCCAGGCTGGCCTTCAACCTATGGCAATCCTCCAGCCTCAGCCTCCTGAGTGCTAGGATTATAGGCATGCACCACCATGCCTGGCTCATTTAATTTGATCTTAAAAGTTATACCATGGAGATACTCAAGGAACATAAGTAAACTCATTTAATACAAAAATCCTACTAAAGTGATTTATTTGTCAAGTTCTACTTTTTTGCTCTTGATTCTCATTATCAAAATTAGCAAAGTGATTCTCTAAATAAGGTATCATTTCCGCCAACAACACAAGATAAATTAATAACCCTTTCTGGCACGTTCCCTTCCCTTCCTTTCCCTTCCCACACTAAGCACACTAGGTATAGCCGACAGGGTGAGCACTGGAAAGGGGTTCCAGGAGGAGCTGTGAGGTGCTTGCGATGAATGAGGGAGCAAGGCAGGACAAGGAGGGTGACAAGGGGGAGGACAGCGTGAGGAGTCAGAGCCTGACTGGGCTCACAGGCACCCACACGAAGGCAAGCACGTGGGACTGCCCTCTGAAAGGGCACATACAGTTGTGGGGGGCCTGGTGCAGGAAGTGAGGCCCCGCGGAGAGCAGGGTGCCTCTGCGTAGAGCGGTTGCTCGCAGTAAGGCGCCAAGACCCAAACTGCAGAAGAGCGGCCACAGGCGCTGGCCGCCCCCTCTGGGAGAAACGGCTGATTCTGGGCGGCGGCAGGGGAGTGCGCGATGAGCTGAAAAGCCTCGGTACCGCACAGACCAAGAGTGCTCAAAGAATAATACAACAAGGCAGGGACGCCATCTGGAACGGATTCCCATGGGCCGCATTTGGGACAACTTGAACCTCAAGATAATCAATGATAGTAACAGATATGATGATGCAATGGATAAAATTGGAAAAATATGAATGCGTAATTTGGAAATCTAGTAAGAATTGTATACTTACACAGTTTTAAAATACCCCATCCTCCCATAAAATATTCATTAATTACAGAGTGGAAAACAAAAGAGTAATTTTACAGCAGAGAGGCTTGGCAGATACCACCCTAGCCAAGGAATCAAAGCGACACATCACTAACATGGGATGGGAAGACTCAAAGTAAGCCACCAGATAGGATGCAATGACAACACAGCACCACTGCCAAAGACACACATTCTGAATCTTACCCCAAGAAATATGAGACAAATCCAAATGGAGACCTCTAATGAAATAACTGACTAACATCTGATCATTAGAAATATCAAGGTCATGAAAGTCAGAGAAAGACTGACACTATTCAGACTGAGGGAAATTAAAACCCTATGAAATTAAATGCAATATAAGATTCCGCACTCAGGGATCATTTCACCATATTATTGGAAAAATAGGCAATACCTGAGTGAGGTCTGAGAATTAGATAGTAATAATCTACTGATACTTATTTCCTGAGTTCAGTAGTCGAGCTATGTGGAAAGACTTGATAATGGCTAATATGCATTCATATACTTAGGGGTCATCAAGTGCTAATTTTCTATTATATCTTTTTGGGGAAAAAAGAGCTTGACTTTCAACTTGCATATTTTAGAAATTTCTTTCAAAAAAATTATTATGACATTCCCTCAATCTAATGTCCAAGTGGATTTATATCCTCTGCATCTATATGGAAGGAAAGTACTGAATAGTTAATTCTGGTATCAGATCACAAATAAATCCAATATATGGCCTTTAGTTCACACTGGTCCATACAGAAAGGATTAAAGTTCCCATTACACCTCCGTTGGTAGCACCCATAAAATCACTAGCCATAGGGCTGGGGATTTAGCTCAGCGGCAAAGCACCTGACTGGCAATCGCAAGGTCGTGAGTTCAATTCCCAGTACCGGAAAAAAAAAAAAAAAAAAATCGCTAGCCATTGGCTTTAATTATTATTTGCCTCAAAGCCTCTGGAAAACACATTTTTGATGAAATAGTTACCTATATAAAACATAAGACAGTAAAGGTTTAATGTATCAGTTAAAGGAAAAAGAACACCTTAAATGAAAAGTATAAAAATAAAACAACAAAAGTTTTTAACAACTTACGTAAATTCTACTATAGAATAGTAAACAACCAATTTTCTAGGACTAGTCAAACTTTTTACTAATATATGGTTAAAACTGCTATTTTTTAAGAAATAAAGGGTTGACCTGAGAGAAATAAATGCATAAATACATGCAATGACCTGAAATGCAAACTAAAATAGAGCCACTTTCGTAAAATAGGCAGGAAATGAAATAAAAATTCTATAGAGGGCATGCACCTGAGTAATACATCAGAAATTTATATAAGAAATCTCAGATTTATAAATGGCTTATGTTTTAAATATTTGTAAATTAGTTGTTTTAATTTAGAATGCACTTCCTAAAGAAACAAAATCATAAATGATTAGATCCCCAGAACTATCTATAACATTGTGCAGCCAATAACGTATCTGGAACCTCAATATCACATGTGACAATGTGTGTCTCTGGTAAAATGAGTTCAGATTTCATGACAAGCAAAGGAAATAAGTCCTTTCACCCGTAGTCTTTGAAAAGGGATTCCAGATGCAGAATTCCTTGGTCTACGGCCCTGCAATAACATTACTTCTAATCTAGGTTTATAGGTTGGGACCAGTGTGGAATAAAATAATACCTTCTCTATACTTCTAATAAAAAGTATGGCATCTTGGCTACTCACATCACATATCTGAAAATCAATTTTTCATTTTAAAATATATGTCTCTTAACAGGTGGGTTGTTATGATGATCAAAAAAGATAATGTACGCATGATACCCACTATGTGCCTTGCACATAAAAGATGCTTCCAATGTTGTATGCAGGGTTGTCTCACTCCCCAGCCCACCCTTTCCACTTTTCATTCTCACCTCTTGGTCCTTGCACAACAAACTAATGAGCTACTTAGCTCCTCTTTTTCTAAGTAGGGGAGGTATAAGGACAATATGCAATAAAGTCAGAAATGAAAGAGCAGTTTGACTTTTCATTATTTAAAGAATTTACTTCATTCATTAATAGTCTCAAATGGGGAACAAAAAGAAGTTTTAAAAAGATGAGGACAAAAACCACAGGATGGAGAAAGAAACTAGAGATCATCTCAGTCACGTGTATATCAATCTACATGACACAGTTCCATTATCTGATGAAGATTGTAAAATTTTCTTAACAAATACAAACTTTAACATACTGTTTGGCCTATGTCCTTCAACCAGCAAGACTATGAAAACTGAGTTTTGGGTTTTATTGTTTTAAGCATAGGTCTCTTCATCTTTACTATGCCTTCACTGTGTTTCTGTACATAGTTACACTGCATGCTTCCCTTGCTTACTTTCTTGAAGAAGAATCTAGTCATATCATATAGAACACTGAAGACAACCAAGGTTATCACTTCCTAAACTGATACCCCTTTTGTAAATGTTATTCCCTTCCACTACTTTTCAACAGACCTGCTTGAAAGAATATGGTCTGGTAAGGGTTCCACTGCCATCACACATCACAGTACCCAGTCTCTGGGTACCAAAACAGAGGTGGCACCTACAGCAGAGCACAGCACAGGGAGCACAGTCTTCCCTGACTATTTGCATCTGACCTCAGCCACTTGCCGGTTATATGACCATACGCTCTTACAGCCTCTAAGTTGTACTTTACTGTCTAGAAAATGTGAATGACAATAAAATGAGGAGCATATAAACTCACAGAGCAGCTAGTGGGAGAACTAGATATGGACCCAAGCCTGGTCACTTCAGAGTACCCTCCCTCATCTATCACTTTATTATAATGCCTCCATATATCTACATCTCACAGTATATCACAATGAAAATTGCTTTAGAAGTGTTGAGAACAGTTTCTGACACAGTATAAGCACTCAGTATATGATATATCTAGAGAAATGACCCAAATGAAATAACAAAAAAATTTTAATTGATAATGCAAGCACTGTTGTAGACTTCAGGTTTTGGATGTTGGCAGGTTAACTATTCAGACCAGTTCTCCCACTGAAAACTACTATATAAAATAAATTATAATTTTTTTTTTCCAAAAGGAACAAAGAAGTAACAAGACTATAAGAAGTTACCAGGACAAACTAGAAGACAAAAGAGAACTAAAAAGTAAGGCAAGTGCAGAAACTGTATTTGTAGTGAGTATATTTACAATCCCAGCAAATCTGATTTTAAGATTTAATGCTCCCAGATGATCAACAATGGAAAAGAAATCAAATTCCAGGGTCTGCACAATGTAAGCAGTTTAACTGGAGATTCTCCTTATAATAAACTCCTATCCCAAAGGAATAACCAACAAGCTAGTGGTGAGCTAGAATTAAACCAAGAAGTAAACCCTGCGCTGAGTTTCCTACTGTCTGAGGGTTCAAAGCTGCCCAGAGAAACTCAGGATGGGTCTCTACATAAAGTGGGCATGGACCGACAGTCCCTCCAGGTGCACTCCAGAAACATCAATGTAGTTCTACTTGTAAAATTTCAATTACACTGATGAGCACACAAAGGTAAATGGATATGTAAGAAGGAATAAAGACCTCACAGGTGAGAATTAATCAAGAAAAAAAAACTAGAAAAACTTTAGATGTCTAAATTATTAGACAATGACAATAAAATAATCACTAAATAAAATATGAAACATTAACAATGTACACAGGGTTTAGAAAGTAACATAGCAGATGTGAAAAGTCAAATAGAAACAAAGACACTGGTGGGAAGATTTAGTAGCAAATCAGACAAAGCTGTAGAAAAAATAAGGGAAATGGAAAAAGACGAGATGGAAAGTAGCTCATAAAGCTTCAGAACTACACAGGAAACAGGGAGGAAAAATAAACATAGAATAGAGAAAGAGAGAATGGAGCAAGGGCTCTCTGAATAGATGAGTGAGATTTTGTTCAAACTGAGGAGACACATCAATTACCAATTAAAAGAAGCTCAAGGAGCCTCAAGCACATAAACAAATTTTACACTTTATTATATCACAATGAAACTTCAGAAAACTAAAGGCAAAGACAAAGTAAAAGATTAATTTCAAAGAGGTGACAAAACTGACAAAATGATTCTCAACAGCTAATAAGAAAATACTGGAAGTGCCGGGTGTGGTGGTGTACGCCTGTAATCTCAGCACTCAGGAGGCTGAGGCAGGAGGATCACTGCAAGTTTGAGGCCAGCCTAGGTTACAAAGTGAGCTCAAGGCCAGTTTGAACTGCATAGTGAGACCCTGTCTCAAAAAGACAAAAAAAAACCTGGAACTATACCTTTAATACTTGTCATGGTTTGTGTCTGAATGCCCCCCCAACAAAGCCTCATGTGGTCATGGTGCACAAGCTTTTTCAGAGATGGCTGAATCAAGAGTATGTGATTGATTCATGGTCCAGTGCTGGAATTAAGGGTGCAAGTGCTATATCTGCCCTAGGGTGGGTAGCTTACACACAATGACAGAAAGAGGCTTGTTTCCCCTTCCTTTGTTGTTTTTGCTGTCTTCTGCCACCATGACTGATGCCCCTTTGCCATGTGCCACCCTGCCTTGGAGCCAGCCCATTATGGACTGAAATCTCTGCAAGTATGAGCTAAATAAACCTTTCCTCCTTTAAATTTGGCTGTCAGGTATTTTGTCTCAGCAATGAGATAAGAAACTAAGGCAAGACTCAAAAGTAAAACTTATCTATGCTATAAAAAATATAGCAAAATAAAACCATTGTCGGTAAAAAGTACCAAAGATGTTTGATATTAAAAGATCTTATTAAAAGTATAATCTAATGATCATACTTTAAGAAGGAAAGTGATCCCAAACACAAGGCAAAAGATACAAATAGCATACAGAAACATGTTGGTAAACCTAAATATTGAATGTATAAATTATCCTATTATCTAAATAAATATTAAATGTATAAATTACTACATAGAAGCAAATAGTATTATACCACAAGAGCCTATAGATTAGAGAAGTAGAGTTTAATGGCTGTAAAGTCCTTTCACTGTCTGAAAAAAGGGGAAAATTAGTGTTAAAGGGAGTTTTAGAATTTAGTATGATGAATAGAATGAACTTATAGAGATAATTTCTAAAAGATAATAAAAAGAATGGATAACTTTAATTAGGACAGGGAAAAACTGAAATGATAAAAGTAATGAATCCTTAAAAAGGAAAGAAAAGATTCCATCAAAAAAGATAACCATAGTATAGGTAAGCATTATAGACATAACACAGGTAATCATGGTAGATAAAACATGACCACATAGATCCATGACACTGCATACAGAAGGACTAAAAGCTCCAGTGAAAATGCATTAATTTTCAAATTCTGCAAATATTAAAAGCCAGTCTAATGCTGTTTAAAGATGCAGGTGTATAATGCAAAAAAAAGATGATTTGAGTTAAAGAACAGACAAAAACATACAATTTAAAAACTGTGTACTTCAGCCAGGTGTGGTGGCACACACCTATAATCCCAGCACTTGGGAGGCTGAGGCAGGAGGATTGCTGCAAGTACAAGGCCACACTGGTATATTATACAGTGAGTTTGAGGCCAGTTTGGGCTACATAGGGATATGCTATGTAAAAAAAAATTGTCTATCAAATAAGAAAGGCTCAAATTATATAAAATGAAAACATGTAACAAGAGTAGAAAAGTTTACAATCATAACATTTTCTCACACCTCTTGTAGTAATGCAGAATATGAAGACTATAGTCATTAACCCTAACAAATAATTAGCATCCATCGACCACACTAGTAAATAATAAAACTGATACACCTATTATAAGAATGAGAATGAAAGCAAAGAGACAGAGGCACAAGAAGCCAGTATCAGGAAAGCAGAGATAGTGCTACAGATATTGCAGAAATTCAACAGATACAAAGATATAATGGACTCTTAAGCTTTCAAATTAAGGCTCATTGACTTCAAATTTACATCAAATGGAAATATATCTACGAAAATATAACTTATTGAAACTGACCCAAGAAATAGCAAAGCTGAAGAACCCTGCAACTATCAAAATACCTGAATCAGTATAAGAGAAATAGTGATATAATCATTCAATGAAATACTATAAGCAATAAAATACATAGTGAATGATGAACAAAAATCAAATCTTGGGAGGTATAATATGATTCCATATACATAAAGTTCAAGCCAAACTAAACTAAATTGCATTATTTAGAGAAGGACACACAGGTGGCAAAACCATAAAGAAAAGCAACTACCACAAAAGCTGGCAAATAATTAAAGGAAACATTAGCAATATTCCATTTCTTCACAGGGAGGTTGTTATGCAGACATTTATCTCATAATTATTTGTTAAGCTATATATTTACATTTCATACTTATTCTCTATTTTTAATGTGATTTTTTGATCATGAACTTAAAAGATATTGTTGTAAAATTACTAATCCCACTAACAGAGTCACCAATCTTTACAACAATAAGTATAAAATAGTACATTTACTACATATTTTTATGTATTTCTCTTTAGAAAATGAACAAGAACATATAATTTAAATCACATTTCTAAACTGCTTTATCAACATTACTTGATATTTTTCATCACAGATAAACTAATCTGGCAAAGTCTTCATACCAAATTTTACAAACCTCAATAACTCAACTTCCTTTCCCACTTTTTTATACATTCTTTCGGAAAAACTGTACTTACAATTATTCAGAGACAAAAGAGTTAAAATAAATTTAGTCTTACCTTCTCTTATATCCTCTGCCAACTGCCAACAAAAGGGTTGGTTTTCTTGATTTCACATTTAAAAATGAGATAGTTCTTTGAGTGGTGAAATTAATTTCAGGTCAAAGATAAGGATTCAAAATATCCAAAACCTTTCTATCTCAGTAAGTTAGCTTTATAAACAACCCTCAGCACAGAGAAAGGAAAAGACTTTCCTTCTTTAGGAATAAAGGATAAATATATTTGAAGGAATCCAGAGAATCACTCATGTCTACATTACCTGAACCAATATCTACTTCTAGGGAACATATTAAAATCAGAAAGTTACTGTTATGACCATGTATATATCAACATAAGGTATGTAGTAAGTGAGATATACAATATACTTACCATTTCCATTAATAGACAGATTATGAGTCTTGAAGCTATCCTCAGCACTTTCCAAGGTAAGGGTAGTATGAGCTAGCAAATGATACTTCACACCACTAACAGTGAGAAAGCAGACATGTGGTAAGTATTTTTGTACGTTCTCTATTACATAAAATATTTAGATGAACAACAAAATAAACAACCTGATTTTAAAATGGGCAAAAGACTTGAATAGACATTTGTCAAAAAATATGTAAAAGGCCAATAAAAACATGCTCAATATCACAAGTCATTTGAAATGCAAATCAAAGCACAGTAAGACACTACTTCATACTATCAAAATGGCTATTAGTAAAAAGAGAAAACCTAAAACCCTAAACAAGCAAACAACAAAAGTCAGAAAATACGAATGTGGAGATATTGGAGCCTCCGTACATTGCTAATAGGAATGTAAAACACTACAGCTGTTATGAAGAATAGTATGGTGGGGGCTGGGGATTTAGCTCAGCAGCACAGCGCCTGCCTGGCATGCGCGAGGTTGTGAGTTCGATTCCCGGTACCAGAGGAAAAAAAAAAGAATAGTATAGTGGTTCCTCAAAAAATTAAAAATAAAATTATAATATGTTCTTTCATATATATCCCAAAGAACTGAAAGTAGGGACTAAAACAAATATGCACCTCATGTTCACAGCAGTGTATTTCCAATAACCAAAAGGCAAAAAAACCTTAAAGGTTCATTTACAGATGAACAAATAAAAAGTTTTAAATATATACACATATGTATACTAACACATATTTCTTTCTCAGTATTAGTGGTGCAAACTATCCTTTGCTGGGGAAGTCAAGGAAGGTGTCTCTGAGGAGCACACTTCAAACACCTGCACATTTTGGTGATAAATTTCTATTATGGCACTTTGTGGTGATAAAAAGTGTATTTCTGCTCAGTAACAACTGTACTTTTTGTGTGAGGAATCTTAATTTTATTCCATCATTTTCATGGTTTTACTGTTTATTTTCTAAAACAGTAAAACCTCAAAGTATCAAAGGGAATGTTTAAGGACAGATACAGACAAACTTTGGAGGAAAGATTGATGGGAATTTTTCATTGCGTTTTTCTTTTGGGGGGCTTTTGCTTTTTTTGTTTTTGGAGACAGGGTCTCACTTTGTAGTGCAGGCTGACCTTAACCTCACTATATAGCCCTGGCTGGTCTTGAATTTGCAATTCTCCTGTCACAGCTTCCTGAGTAGGATTATAGGTATGTACCAATGTGTCCAGCTTAATAAAATCTCTATAACAAAAAATATGCATGCATTTAGTAAGTCTGCAATGTGTGCATGCACTCCTTCAATAAATAAAGGCATATCCCATAGAATGTTACTCCCCTGGGGAATGACTCTTGGTTTTTGGTGTACAATCATTACAGGCCAGGGATATTTCTCCATACACAATGTTTTGCATCATATTTATATAAGGAAAGCTGTGTATGTCTTCAGATCTCAACCTGACATTTTGAACAAAACAATGCATGAGTAAAATTCAAGTTAGACTGTGAACAACTGACATACAGTCATACATAAACACTATAGACTTTTGGGGGAAATTCACGAAGCATAAACAAATCACCACTGTTGCCAGATCTAAGAGAGAGGCTAGCCCCATACTCAGTGTGGGCTAGTCTCTGTTTCTGGTAACTTACCCTGAACAAGTTTCTACAGAGTCTTTCATAACTACCTTACATTTTTGCCTAGTGTCTACACAATTAGTCCCCCAAAAGTTCAGGAATTATATTTTTATGTATTTTTTCATAGTGCGTGTTTACAATACATAGTTGTTACATTAGTTTTGGGGAACTGGTACATGAAGTTGAAGAAGTATTAAAGGAAACCGGAGAAAGACTCAAAGTAATTAGGAATAGTAATTAGAACTGAAGAGCTATTATCACTACATCCCAAATTGCCAATTAGCAATATCAGCTGTATGGTATCAAGGTGCGGTATGTTAAGAATTACCCAACCTGGTAATCTGTCACTGACATATAGTTTTATAGAACTACATTTTAGAAAAATAGATGAGTGTTTTAAATTGGTGAAAACATTAGAATTTTTTCCCACATAAGATAGTAAGAAATAGATTTCCTACTAGCTGAGTGCAAAGTGTGTTGTTTTCAGGAAAACATTACTGACAATAAGTAGAACTGCCTGCATTTGCCAAGAACCATTAAGTGCTTAGACTACAACAATAAGCAAAAGAGGGGGGAGGGGTTCTTAGAAGTGAGACTAAGCAAACAGTATACCAGGTCTATGAGACTATATTTAGCATGGTAATGGGATCAAAGTGATAGGAGAGGTGTTATTTCAGATGGGCGAAGGTAAGGAAGTCCTATATGCAAAAGTAGAACTGATTGAAAGAAATTAGCCATGAGAAAACCAGAAGGAAGAACATTTCAGGCAAAGCACAGTAAACATACAAGCTAAGGTGAGCATACACTAGGTATATCTGACAAACAACAAGAATGCCACAGAGGCTGGAATACTGTGGAAGAGGAAGGTCATGTGAGAATGTCCAAAAGGCAAGCAAGGCAGACACTATGGACTGTAATCCCCTATGGCCTGATAAGGACAGTGGGTTTTATTCTGAGTGAAATGTGAAGCAAACTGCAGGTTGTGAGCAGAGGTATGTGCTATAATCTGATACGCGTTATAATTAAATGATCCCTCCCTCTGGCTGCAGTGTGGAAAGCAGATCCACAGGAATGAAAAAAGGAGAACCAGCAGGGAAACTACTACCATTGACCAGAGGTGATGGAGGCCTGGACAAGAGGCAGGGTAAGAAGCAGTAGGCTTCTTGATACATTCTCAGGGCTGACTCACTGTATTAGACATAAAAGAAATGAGAGTCAAGGATATCTTCAAGTCTTTTGCTCTAAACAACTAGAAAAACACAACTGTTACTGACAGATTGAGAGAGGAACAGATATGCGAAGAACTTAGTTTTAAGGAAGCAAATTTGGTATTTTTAGATAGTAAGTAAGATGCACTACTGAGTTGGCAGGTGGGTATTTGAGCCTGAAGATGGGAAAGGAGTAGACATTGGAAATATTAATTTGGGTATACAGATGAAATAAATAAATTATTTATTTGTTTGTTTGTACCAGGAATCAAACTCAAGACCCTGTGCTGGCCAGGCGGGCGCTGTACCGGTGAGCTATATCCCTGGCAACAGATGAAATTTAATGAGAGAAAAGTAAGTGAAGACAACTTGTGAAGTACTCCACCATTCAGATTGAAGTTGAAGAGCAACAAATAAAGGAGATACACAAAGTATCCCCATCTCTGAAGTAGGAGACACACAAAGTATCTCTGTCACAGACAGACGAAAAAACAGAGAAAGTGGTATCCTAGAAGAAAGTAAAAAAGCTGTTTCATGAAGAGTGATCAATTGTGTTAATCAATAACCAACCATCAGATGTGGTAATTCCTGTCTACCTTGACAAGAGTAGTTTCTGTAGACTGGGACAGAGGTAACATGATGAAAATCAAATGAAATATCCAAGAGAGAATGGAAGGAGAGGGAATGGGGACAGGAATACAAGACACTATTTTCTATAAAAGAAAGCTATGAAGCAGAAGTTATTTCAGCATTTCATATGTTTGTGAGAATGATGAACTAGATGAAAAGTTGATGATGCAGAAAAGAGGGGGAAATGCCCAGAAGCCTACCTCTGAGTAATGAAGAGGGTGGGGCCTGGCGCACAAGTAGATGGTACCCAGATGCAAAAGCAGTTCATAAGGAAGGAATCAGCAAACACAGATGGAGATCCCAGTAGACAGGTGGATTTGGTGATGGAGGTTAAAGTTCTCTTCTGATTACTTTAAGGATGTCAGTAATAAAAAGTCACTGGCTATGAATGAGGCCTGCAAGGGGGACTATCAGAGGTTAGAAAAGAGGAAATCATGTAAAATATATTAAAAAGAGGTAAAATGGAAGGTATGGAAACTAGCTAAATTGCGCAGTCATACTGAGGTCCCCTTTATGGTTAGTGACTTGCATCTCAAGTGAAACAAGCGAAGGTGACTTTTACTCACGCTTCCTCATCTGTTCCTCATAAGTGCATGTGCAAAAGGTGCTTTAAAAGAAGACTGAACAAAAGGAAAGAGGTGCTAGCAAAGAATAGAACGGTCCATCATGGAGTCTAAGCTAAGCTGCAGCAGGAGTACTGACAGAAGAAGAAATACAGGCGGTGGTAAAGAGACGGGGATGTCTACTATACAGATTCTAAAAGGTATACAATAATTACCAATGACAAGCCTGAGTGAACAACCAGGGTAGATGGATGAGGGGGTCAACATCAGTAGGGATGAGAAAATCATGAAACTAAGAGGGCATGGCATTAGATAGACTATCTACATGAATGGTATGTCTAGCAAGAAAAATATCTGAAATGGTGGGAGAGAAAGAAGAGAATGAAAAGAGAGAAACTTTGGTTTTGTTTTTAGGAGTGACATTATAATTTATTCTCCTAGACTACCTTCATTTTAGAAGTCATTTTACTATACATGGAATATAAAATATTGTTACCAGTGTACACAGGAAAAAATTGTGCTATAAACTCTGCATTTGCACTGTGAACACTGGAGACGTGGCATCAGAGTAAGCTAAAATTATATAATGACCAAATTACATGTCTAAATTATCTCTCCTGTCTTGAGACATGATTTTCATTAACACAACTACCTTAAGGTAAACATGTAACACATTAACAACTTCCCCATGCATGATACAGCTGAAAATAACAATACAAAAAAAGTTACTGGTGACCTTGTCTAAACATGTTTAAATAAAGATGTAACCAAGTAATAGATGATATGGCCATTAAAATGACTGAAGATTCTATAATAATTTCTGAGAAAAGCTGAATGAACAGTATAATTAGGAGTATCTAAATATCTGCTAGATTAGGTATTTGAAGCTTAGAAGGAAAATATGAGTTCGAAATTATAAAAGTATTTGGTTTAGAATATTTAAACTATGAATAACTACTTCTCTAGATTCTATTTCTTAAATTTATACCACTTTTCTAATGGAATAATTAATACAGTTAATTGGTAGTAGGAT